ATACTTGGGCGATATAAGCACAGGGGAAGCTATAAGACGAGTATCTTAAGTCCAATGACCTCCATAATTTCCAGCGGGAACTTCCCGCCGGGAAGGCATTTCCTTCAAGTTATCTACACTTGCAACGTATTTCTGTAGACTCGCTCGCCTCCATGCAACTGTTCAGCTTCGCTCGAAAGTTAGCTTTCCCTTCACCCCTTACTCGAGTACTGCCATCGTGATGCATTTCTCACTCATTCTTGCTGCGATTCTCGCCGTGCAATCAACACATGCCGTTGTTGGCGGGAAGACAAGCCCGACTTTTCATGAAGCTATGAACGAATCAACTCAAAAGCTCACCCGTAAATTGAAAGCGCGGCGAGGATACGGGACTATTACAGAGAGTCAAGATCTATCCAAACGATTACTAGCTGGAGAGGAGGACTTCAGCCACAACGCTGACAGTGGTTGTTTCGGTGGAATTTGCAAGTTCGTAAAGCGTATATTCCGAAGGGGTAGGAAGATCAAAGCAAACGGCCATGACGATTTGCCAGTATTTGATAGCATTGATGGACCCCCGATGGACAATGACCATAAGCCTATATCCGTGAGCTCAGATGATGTCATAGACGACTCACCTACGTGGTCGACTAGTAGGAGCTCTCTGGGTTCTGATAGCAGCTCGGAAACATCAGTTGACAGCGGAAAAAAGAAAAGAACGAAACGCAAGTTCTTCAAGTGATGCCGATGTCCAAGTTGTTTAATAACATGTCTAGATGTGAGGTGTCAGTTTTAGGAGTTCTCGAGTTACACCAGTTGATAGCAATCTAAATTCTCAGACCTCGGCCGTTTCCCAATGAGAATCTATTCTTCCGACTCACCGGCGGGTCGTCTGACATACCTACTCTTGAACATCATTTTTATTCGATATCGAGGGGCTTGCTGAATGGTGTAAATCTCGTGGGCTCAAGCACATCGGTAACGAGTGGTCAAAACCTTGAGAAGTACTTCACTGTGTTCCTGACGGGGAATCACCTCTTCTATATTCTTTCTGAGATATTTGACTTCTCTACATTCTACCTTCAACGTTTATCTCGAGCACTTTCCCAAGTTGAACTCATCACTAGTAGTCATTTACAACTACCTGTCTCGCTTGTCGTGTTATTCGGGCCAGCTGAGGTTTCTCTCTGCGGAGATCCTATTTAACGTCTCGCGATTGTCTCAGTGATTTTTGAACCACCGTTGTATAATACGATTGCAAACTCATCACAAGTGTGATGGACACCGAATGGCTCAGCTCTGCCTAAAGGAATACTTGAGTTTCTCCCTGAGTACGCATGTTGTGGATTGCTTTTCGTAGATACTCGCATAGACGCATTTGCATGCTTGCAAATGCACATGATGATACTATGCACGATACGATACGATGATACTTGCATTGCTTGCAGTATCATCGAGTGAATCTATGTGAAAATGTCCATTGACTACTATTGTACTATTCTATTGTGTCTATTCAAATACTTGCGTATTTGCATAGAAGCTTAAGGTACTTTGAGTATTCTCAAACTGGAGGCGCCTTAGAGTGTTTACTTGAGCAGTGAAATAACATGCCGGAGTTACTAAGGTATACTTAAGGCGTTGTACTACTTAGCGTACCGAAACACTAGTACTCGACGTTATTCGTTTGACGCACAATCAACCCTAATGAAACAGGCCCAGTGAGGACTTGTCGTCTTCTTCTTTTTTTGAGGATTCCAGGCATTGCCTAGTAGACAATCGATCAAAAATATTCGTCCACGCCACAAATTGTGCAACAAAGATTTCCCACCCTATTCCGTCTCCATATTCCCCATAAAATGTGGTTTTCGCGGACACTAATCGGACCGCTCGTTCTCTACATCTCGCAAGGGAAAGCAGTCAAGAAAGCATTTCTGTCTTGTTTGGGTGGCGGTTTGAAATGCACAAAGAGAGTCGATGATGACGACGACGAGCTAAATGTCAAGTACGAGAAAATCCACGAAAGACAGAACTCGAAGTCTTCCGCTGGGGAATCCAGTGGCTATGGGAGTGACTATAGCCCAACGAGCTCCGACTCGGAGAGGAGCTTCCTAGCCTCCTTCGATTCTCTTATGCAATATGGTAAAGGCGATTTGCCCGACGGCTTCGTTGCCGAGCATTCCAAACCACGACGATGGGAAACGCCAGCAGTTGTGGGAAGGGCCCCAGTAACAGGATACTGGAATTCGCAACCACCGTTGAACTTCGTCGATGATTTCTTCAAGGCGGAAACGTCTGACACTCCAAAAAGGAGACAATGGGCTACGATCAGTGTTGAGAATTCTGAGAAGCCGCATAAATATAAGGAAATGGAGAGAGTCGAGAACAAGGATACTATTGATGGAGACTGGACAGTGGTGGGAGAAATCCCGGAAGTGAAAAGTGTTCCCGTCAAAGCTAGTAACTCCGAGTGGAAACACATTGGCCCTAGTTCGGCGGGTAGGAAGGTCAAGAGATTCTTCAGAAAAGCGAAGAGGAAACTGACATCGTAGACGTTCTAATAACATACTGTACGGTGTTTGTTGTTAGCCAATGAGAAGTGTGATGTCGTTAAAGTCCTTCAATCGTTTCTATTCTACATAGTGTCGTTCACTGATGTCTGTAGAAGTTTCCACGTTGAGACTTATTCTAGAAGAACAGCACCAACGGGCAATAGACCTGCGAAATTTCTTCCGTGATGTTGTGGTCGTCAACGTAGAGACTAGACGTTCTCTCGAGATAGCAAAAGTCCCGCAAATCTACATTCCAGAAACGTTATCAAACAGCAAGCCAATGACCTTCGATAGATGTAGCCGAGCAGGGAAAAAACTGAAGTCCGAATACACAAGTGCAGATACAACCTCAGGGGAACTATCAGCTGGTCGAACTAGGGTGAAATGGGAAGACGACAATCGAAGACAAAGTCACTAGTCATGAGCTCAAGACCACTGTAGGGGAATCTATGTTCGCTTTATCAATCTCAAACAATAATATTGTTATCGATAACAATCAATATTAACAATCGCTTATATATATAGCATATATTCGCATCACTGAGCTAACGGGTTTCTCCACGAATTATAGAAATTCGGATGAAAATGTACGAAAACCAACGAAAATTTCCCGAAATTTTCACAGAGTTTTCATATTGTCCCCCCAGCGTATGGGGATTACGATGTTAAGTGCTAGACCCACCATAGATCAGATACACCTCTGGTGGGTATCGTCACTGGAGCGTTGCTCTCCATCATTTACCTTCGATATGCACAGTGATCGGCATCACGGGTAACTCGAGCTCGCGATTCATAATACTTGATGTGATTCTCTATTCGAGGAACAAGTCCGGATGATATTCAAGAGCTTCATCCCAGCCAAACTCCTCCTCCAGGGAGTCTCTCCTTCAAGTTCAAAGAGGTAACGTCTTGGCTATTGAAAGTAACATCATCAACGTCTTTCGCATTGGCAATAGTTGACGAAATGAATACAACTTCCGATCTACGACAGGATATCCCAAGGTTCATATCTCTGTGAGAATACCCCATCTCCTGTAACAGCATTCAAGTCAGTTCCATTACTTAGTCTTGTACCGACCTGGTAAAAGTACCCCGATCTAAAGTTCCTATTAGTCTACAACGCATAGAAAATCTAAGACTTTGCGCTCCCCCAACATTCTCTCGCTTGCCTTTCTCAGAGAGAAGAAGTCCCAACGGACATGGTCGTGACTAAGGCTGATAAAATATCGATGATACTCGATGACCATCACCACAAGACGAGGCCGACTATCAGCATTGTGAGCTGTTTCCACCAGAATCTGTCTATGATCCCTCGTATTTGGTTACTTGCCTGCAGGTCAGAAATGACAATGAAGTGCTCATGAAAGACAATCCCATTGATGAAATCCTCATATCAAAAAATGTGTGGGGCTTCCTTCTCCTCGAGGGAGATGGTTGGGAAGTTGAAGTCTCCCAAAAACCCACGTAATTCGATACTTCATCGTCAATTCGTGGGAGAAATTCTACACTTGCATAGTAGTGTGATACTCACCTCATCTACAGTAGTTACTCGAATCATATCGAAACCTATACTTGAATCAAGTGCAGGTTTCACAAGTCCCCTACAAATCTGCCGTCTGAAGTGACTGTATAAGAAAAGTGGTCTCCAATCTCCCGCCGAACTAATCGACATATCGCAAGAAGTGTGTGAATCATATTACCAACACGACCCATTGGATGATGTAGTTAAACCCACTTTATCATCGACTTGTTCTTAGGACACTTCATGATGGACGTTGTTCACGCGAATGCACTCCTCCACTCATCTGTCGACTATTCTGAATAGTCTATTCCAACGTGACATAGTCTCATGAATATTCATATTATAAGGTTCTCGTATTAGTGATTATATTTATAACTAGTTTATATACTATTTATAGTACCAAGTTATTTCATCTATTTGATTACTTAATATTGTTTATTTCGAAAGCCATATCGTGGAATTTCACAATATTATAGCATTTCCACTCAGGCTAACCATAGAAGTGCTACAACTAGTCGGCTCGGAGCCTATATCGAGCAGTGACCCTTCCTCATGCATATCTTCCATTATAGATTAATACTGTCCGGTTTCGCGTTTCTGAGTTGCGTACTATAATACAACGCTGCACTGTTGTAGACCATCTCGCACCAAGAAACTCATAATGTTGTACTTGTAAATGTGTGAATAATCAACTGTAGTTATACAATCACTATCCTTCTAAACATTTAGTTGAGGACATCACCAGGAGCAGGACCAGTCGGGATCGGAATACTCGCGCCCTGAAGGACTGTCACTGCAGCGGCATCAACAACATCTTCGGCGTGGCATCCTCGAGAGAGATCATTGGTGGGGTAAGCCAAGCCCTGGAAGACCGGACCAACGGCCTGGTAACCCCCGAAACGCTCAGCAACCTTGTAGGCGATGTTGCCAGCATTCAAGTCGGGGAAGATAAGGACATTAGCATGGCCAGCAACCTTGGAACCGGGGGCCTTCTTGGCAGCTACCTCGGGGACCTAACGAGAATTTGTGACATGAGGAATGACACAGCATTAGTATATACAATCTCCTTCCTCAACCGAGCAAGAAGTGTACAGAAACCAATAACAACTTCCCAGAAATTTTCTCAGAACTCTCAGATTATCGTGTAGTTGACCATGTGCATATTTTCCCACACTGGTGCGATAACAGAAGAGGCTTACAATGGCAGCATCGACCTGCATTTCACCATCAATGGCAAGATCAGGTCTCTCTTTGCGAGCAAGGGCAAGAGCCTCCTCAACTCTAGTCACATACTCATGCTTAGCACTGCCGAACGTGGAGAAGCTGAGCATTGCAATACGCGGAGTGCTGGCTAAGACGTCCTCGCAGGTCTGGGCAGTTGTGATGGCGATCTCGGCGAGCTGCGAGATGGAGGGCGCGATGCAGAAGCCGCAGTCGGAGAAAAGGAATGTCTTGTCATCCTTGGCGATGATGAAGAACGACGAAGCGGTCTTCAAGCCCTTCTTAACCTGGAAAAACATATGATACTTACCATGTGCGAACCCCCACGTTACGCCAACAGTTTGCAAGGCCGCGCGGGCAACATCAGCAGAAGTATGGGAAGCACCAGCAACGCACTGAAATAACATATGATAACCTCTTGAGTTCATTAGCTTACTCCTTGAACATGGCCAGTGGTCAACATCAAATTCGCCATCATAAGGGGAGAATTCTTCACGGTATCAAGGGCGGCATCAATAGTCATGCCCTTCTTTTGGCGCTTCTGGAATCTGACCATCATCCATACCATAACTCGCTCAACTTCTCCGAATGCATCACGTACAAGACAGTGGCGGTCTGTTCCACAACCTCAGGATGGAGTGCTGGGTCAATGATCCTCACGCCTTCCAAAGACACGTTGTTCGCCTTGGCGCACTTATAAGCTGCCTCGCGGTCGCCCACCAACACCTGTGAAGAACAGGTCACTTGAAGATAACCGGTGGCGACCTACAGGTTGGGCAATCTTCTCCTTGAGGACCTTGGCAACAGCAGGGATAACACGTTCATCAGAGACCTCAGGGAACGCTATGAACTCTGAAAAAAGCAGTTTCCTAATCGAAAGCTACGATGACTTACTTTTAAGGCCAGTCTGCATAGCACGCTGACGAATGCCTGCAAGAGCAGCGGGAGCACAACGCGCAGTGGAGCGAGAAAGCATCAGAGAAGCGATAGTACAACTAAACCGAACCGAGCAATGCCATCCATCTAGTCTATATCGTGATGAGCACACTACTGCTAGCCACACTGGAGGGACAGAGGATGTTCACTAGAAGTATCTTTCTGCTCGCTAGTTGAAGTAACGCTAAGATCTCTTACTGTCCCCATCGACACAATATTCCCGCAGCTGTGATAATTTCCCGTATACTCGTTATCGTGATGATTAAGTTTTTTGATACTTTCTAACGTTACGTCGAGTAATACCGAGTCGATCTCGATACTCTCTAACGTTATATCGAGTAATACCGAGTCGATCTCGATACTCTCTAATGTTATGTCGAGTAATACCGAGTCGATCTCGATACCCTCTAACGTTATATCGAGTAATACCGAGTCGATCTCGATACTCTCTAATGTTATGTCGAGTAATACCGAGTCGATCTCGATACCCTCTAACGTTATATCGAGTAATACCGAGTCGATCTCGATACTCTCTAACGTTATATCGAGTAATACCGAGTCGATTTCGATATTCTCTAATGTTATGTCGAGTAATACCGAGTCGATCTCGATACTCTCTAATGTTATGTCGAGTAATACCGAGTCGATCTCGATACTCTCTAACGTTATATCGAGTAATACCGAGTCGATTTCGATATTCTCTAATGTTATCCTTGTTCCTCGAAGTGATATTATATTATCATCACTCGAGTATTCATATGAAAATATTTCTCACCACAGCACCTCGTGCATAAACCCATCGAATCGAATCATAAGGCGTTTCCCAAGGTTGAAAATTCACTCAGTTCCCTCCGTCGACACACTCAACCGATGGCATCCCAATAAAACGCTTTATCACAGCAACTCTCTCACCAGGGTATCACTCGTACGAGACCGTCAACTACAGTTCGATGATGATCTAATGGAGCCTCTCATATTTCCTATTTAACTCAACACCGAAAAATCACGGACGAGTGATACTGAGCTATAATTCTCCTATAAAATTAATCAAAGTCAGATCATGCTCAGTTGCTCATGCTTCGTACTCCTCCATGTCTTCGTGAGCTTCAGCTAGAATAAGGACTTGATCTGACTCAGATCATCTGAGCAACAATAACTATGCCAACGCCTATCACTAATCGGGATGCCTCTAGGAGGCCCCATCTTAATTCTTACCATATACGCACCTTGTTCCTCATCCCACCTTAACTAGGAAAATTATGTGTCGTTTTATGAGAGTGAAACATGGAGGGATACCATTATAAACGATTCTCTTTCTGTTGATGTATAGCATTAGATCAGGAGCGGCGTGATAAATATACCCCCCCCCCCCCCAGTAAAAGTTGGTATTTTGAGGCGCAATTTTAACACGTGTATGCTGAGAATATGTGGACAGAACTTTTTACCGGTCTTTGACTTCTCACTAACTACGAAGAGTAAGGCTCTGAAACTTGGAGGTCATATCAGGTAAAGCATAAATACATACCTCCCTGAGCCGCAAGATGATACTCGTTGTGGTGGCTGTACACGAGTCGAAAACCCGGGTATGCTAAGAATATGTGGAGGGGTGTATTGGATTGGCCTAGCCGCCCCTCGGGAGGATTTGATCTTATTGAGGATATCTTGGATTGGCATAGCCGCCCCTCGGGAGGATCTGATCTTATTGAGGGATATCTTGGATTGGCATAGCCGCCCCTCGGGAGGATCTGATCTTATTGAGGGATATCTTGGATGGCATAGCCGCCCCTCGGGAGGATCTGATCTTATTGAGGGATATCTTGGATGGCATAGCCGCCCCTCGGGAGGATCTGATCTTATTGAGGGATATCTTGGATGGCATAGCCGCCCCTCGGGAGGATCTGATCTTATTGAGGGATATCTTGGATGGCATAGCCGCCCCTCGGGAGGATCTGATCTTATTGAGGGATATCTTGGATGGCATAGCCGCCCCTCGGGAGGATCTGATCTTATTGAGGGATATCTTGGATGGCATAGCCGCCCCTCGGGAGGATCTGATCTTATAGAGGGATATCTTGGATTGGCATAGCCGCCCCTCGGGAGGATCTGATCCGACTGAGGGATATCTTGGATTGGCATCAGGGTTTGCCCTTTGGGCACGGGCGGAAATTTCCGAAGGAAATTTTCGAGAAAATTTCAGAAATTTCCGTTGAGGCTGGAAATTCTTGGAAATTTGCTAAAAATGCCCAAAAAATCGTGCCCAGGGTAGTAGAGAGGAGAGAAGTAGTTCAGATTCATTCATAATGGCCGAATAAAGCTAGTGAAGGCGTTCGCAGGTGTCTACTGGTCACTATGAATACATCTTGCGGTTACCCTCAGATATCGATCAGGTGGGCGTGCGCGTGAGCCTCTCAAGAGTTAGCGATTCTCCAACTATCTTGCAATCTTGCGTTCTCTCTCTCGAGAGTCGAATAGTGTCGAGGTAGCTCCAGTTATTTTCACGGTTGGCGCTATCGACCTACTTGGCTGTAGTCCAGTGGACTAAGTCCACCATATCTAGCCGCGTTCTATCGAGTACACCTTCGGCGGTAATCTTCGCATTCACACGTTAGCTGTAACTCGCACGAATTTGCGTCACTTTGGATAAGCTGCTGAGCCCCAGCATGATGGACGGTATCCGAGGTGGAGACGCCTAGCCTATGGGTTTGGGCCCTATGGGCCATAGGGCGTAGACATCGATCACTTTCTCCCGTAATTCAGATTGATTATGGTGGATGAAAAACGAGATGAAATATCTCATTTCCCCTCTAAGAGCCCAAGCTTTTGCTCACGTTCGACCCAGAACAGTAGACTCAGTTACCTAGGATACAAACTGAAGCAGAACTCGGCCAGCCTCGGCCAGACTCGTATAACACCCTAAGATGACATGGCTACTATAGCGGGCCGAAGGGCCGCGATTTATCTGGTTCAAACCACCCTATTTGGCATGACATACGTTGGGCCCGGAAGTGGCATACGTTGGGTCCGGTGGGCATACCTGGCTGCTCGCATGTCTCGCGCGCCCGCATGGCGTGCGAGATTTACACGGAAATTTCCATTTCCACCATTTCCGAAATTTTCCGTGATAAAATTTCCTTTCCGCGAAATTTTGACGCTTGCCCGCCCAAAGGGCAAACCCTGATTGGCATAGCCGCCCCGCCCGGTTAAGTTTATCTCACTGGGAGCGGAATTAGCCTCGGAACTGTGTACATAAACACTCGGATATATTCGAGTTGTTTCATATCAGCAAGTAACGCGCTCCCAATCATTTGTACATTGAATTGGCAACCGCTCTAATACAAGTCACGATGACTATCAACTTGAGTGAAGCTCGGACGATCACTGGTTCACAAAAACGCCCCTGGGTCAAGCGAGCGTTCTTAGAGATACACGTGAATCCATGTGCGCAAGCCATACGAGAGGCAGCGGCGCACAGGAATGTAGA